GCCTGGGGGGCGGGCGGCGCCGAGGAGGTGCGGTGGTGGCCCGGGGGAGTCGCGGCCTGGGGGCTGCTCAACACTATGGACAGAAAAGTGTGTAAGTTTAGCAGTGTGTGTCTGAGGAACGTCAAGAGAACAACCCACTGGAAATTACTTACTCTGGGACTGTTGAGACATGCGACGTTCCATCTCCATATTTTGTGTTGACCTAAATTTAAAAAAAACCAATGTTATTGACAAAGTGTATTGTGATCTTCACGTAATTAGAACCAATAATTTTACATGCCTGTATCCACCCATGTCATCATCATATTGACCATTGCTTTGAACATATTGTTGAGGTGGAGCAGGTGGAGGAATGGGATTCCTGTTGATACCACTCGCCAACACCTAGGTCAAAGGAAAAAATTGAGCTTGGTACTACTACCTACTAAAACAATATCGGATTGAAAATTAAAGGAAGCACTTCCAAACCTCAAGTGCGTGAATCATGGCACGTGCAAATGCATCTGCATCTTCTTTACTGCTAAAATTGAGGCCATAAACATGCTTGTTATCTCGCCATTGATGAAAGGTTTGAGTCGCTTGGTTGTATTTAAGACCTTTCAGAATGGCACAGTTAATGACAACCTAAAAAAAAAATACAAAAAGATTAAGAATAAGCCATTTCAAAGCATCATCCAAAAATTTAAGCAAAAATCTACTAACCTCATGATCTTGTAGTTTTCGGCCAACTACTCTAAAGGTGTTATGGATCTGATGATGGTATATATGCACTTTCGACATCCCTGAAGTTCCTCCACTGGGAATCCATTTCTTATTGATGTCATCATACACCATCACCGAAGCTCTCGCAGAGGAAATACTCACTTCACTAAAAGAAAACAGTTGTAAGCGTGTTAGCATCAAAATAACAGTTGCGTTTCACAAACAACATTAATTTTGACTTCAGAGAACCAGGCAGCACAAGCACAACAGGTACAAAAATGCAGCAGAGAACTAGGCCACTGCTACAGAGATCATCAACAATGCTTGGTGCATATTGCGACAGAGGGTGTCAAATGTCGCACCTGCTGCTCATGGTGAGTCAGCCCCAGCCAGGTGTCCAATTACACCGCACAAGGTGAGCACATCCACACATTCCACTAGAGGGCATCAAAGACTAAACATTTGTGCCCACGTCTCAGCAAGACCCACGCAGAGAAGGCAAAGCTCCGACGAGCCCGATGTGCACCACCCACCTCGCAGGCCGCGGGGGAGGGGGCCGCAGCTTGCCGGCCCGGCCCCGGCCGCACCCTCTGGCTGCGCAACCCTCCCCTAGCACGCCCTGCCCTGCCCCGGCCCCGGGCTGCAACCCGCAACACAACCGCTTGCAATCACGTTGGGCTCCCCAGGGGGAAGACCTAGGGCCCGTCCGCCAGGAACCCGACGGCAACGGGTAGAAGCACCGAGTGACGGCGGCCTAGCCTGGGGCCCGAGGCACACCAACAAACAAGCAGACAGTACCAACAACCTCCCATCCGACGGGGTTGGAAAGGGGTTCCGAGACGAGCGCGCCTGACACTCGAAGGACACTCTACCCGGGGGACGGGAGGGCGTGTTCGGGCAGCCAACCGTTGAGGATTTCAGGCGGTTCAACGAGGAAATTCGATGGGAGCAGGAAGCCTAACCGAGGGATCGTCCTCACGAACTTACCTCATTTTCGTGCAGTTTAAAGGGCGCTCAGGGTTCCACCCGCAAGCATATCACACACGGCACTTGACTCTCCACTTGCGAGGGCAGAAATCGTGTCAATTTCACAATTTTATCCTGCAAAATCGTCCACTAAAGCGAATGCATTCCAGATAATGTCGTCTTCTCACGCCATATTTGTTATCGACCTGCCCTGCCTCAGTCATCACCACCACCACCTCCACCACCACCCCCGCACTCTCGAGCCGCGTTCGATTGTATCGAAGTGAACAACGAGTCCAAAACACTCCCCCCGCCCCTCCCCTCTCGCCTCACCTTCGCCACAACATCGCCTCGCCATTGAACACGAGCAGCACAGCAGAGCAGCAGCAAAGAGTTAATTCAGCAGCGATTTGCCTTGTTTCCATACATTCGGACCAAGTTTTAATTGAAGTTCGTAGTCTTTATTATTGAAGATGCCTCCCAAGCAGCGCAAGATTGCCATCATGGGCTACCGTTCAGTGGGTGAGTAAGAATCGCCTACGCCTCGCAGACCTATTGGAGGTTAAAGTTGTAGCCTTGTAGGCCTCGATCTGCGCAGATTGTTTCTGACCTTGTCATCCTTTTTTCTATTTAATCTCCCTCGTCATTTAATTTCACATCCTTTCCGCGGTAATATAAGGGACGCTAGTCTTAGCTCTCCCTCGCGCTGTGTTTGTATTATCGTCTTTGAAATTATATTTTTAAGGGATTGTTTACATAACACATTTGTATTTGTGTTGTAGACAACCTTTCACTGTCTTGAAGACTCTTTTCACTTTTCCTTATCTTACCAAGTTGCTATCTCACTCCTAAATTCAAGGCCACCGTCAGGGGCTGTTAAATTTGTTGGAATCATCTATTTATCTGCCAGTGTTCGTTGGTTCAATGCCAAAATTTGTGCAATGCTCTATATCATAATTATCTTGGCGTGATTTATTCCTTGAGGTACCTTTCATTTACAGGGAAATCTTCTTTAAGTATACAGTTTGTTGAAGGACAGTTTGTGGATTCCTATGATCCAACCATTGAAAACAGTAAGAAAGACCTATGGTTGTCTTGATGATTTATTACTTTTCACTGTATAATGTAATTCAAAATACATAAACTTATTCCTACAGCATTCACAAAAGCCACTAGAGTAAACAGCCAGGATTACGATGTCAAAGTAGTTGATACTGCAGGTCAAGACGAATATTCAATTTTCCCTGCACAGTACTCTATGGATATCCATGGCTATGTTTTGGTTTACTCGATCACCTCAATGAAGTCCTTTGAAGTTGTTCAGGTCATATATGATAAACTTCTTGATATGACTGGAAAAGTGCAGTAAGTATGCAAAGCCGAAAGTGAGTTAATTCTGAATCATATTGTTTGAAAGGAGCCATTCATAATAATTTGTTTTTGCTAGCCTCCCAATTGTACTAGTTGGCAATAAGACAGACTTACACATGGAGAGAGCCATAAGTAATGAAGAAGGGAGGAGGTTGGCATCAGGTTGGAATGCAGCTTTTCTAGAAACATCAGCCAAGCAAAATGAGGTGAATGTCTTGACCAAAACTAATGATTGCTTCTTAAAACCTTTTTCCTATCTTCTTGTGGCTTAAAAAAAAAAATGTATATTGTAGAAGACGCGCGTACTTGTAGAATATTAGATCTTGAAATTCTTGCTAGATTGAGTGTTGAAGTAAATTACATGTTATGTATTATTTTTGATTAATGTGTTACCTTTAATTTTTCAGTCTGTTGGAGAAATATTCCACACTCTTCTTCTGGAAATTGAAAAAGCAAATGGAAATGCACCAGAGAAATCATCCTGTGTTATTTCTTAAATCAAGGGTACAAGAAAATTTTAGCTTTAATTTTGCAGTTCATTTCATGCACAACTGTGAGACTGAGGCCTGAAGTGTTTCTCTAGCTAATGTTGGAGCAATGTCACAATAGTGATAATAAGTGTATTCATTGTTATAGTGTTCCAGCATCGGTGTTTGTTGTTATCACTGTTACCGACTATGACCAAAGATCCTTCAACCCCAAGATTCATTTGCACTGGCCTGTTAAGGACAAAGTTCCCTGTGTAAGGCCTTGGCTATTTTATATCCTAGACAAGATATTTGGTCATAGGCGGCAACGTAACCTTCTTGTTAAAGGTGTGCTGATTTAGTGAAATGCCATATACCAGTAAAACTTACCAGTGAGTTAACTTGATTTCTTGTTTGTTTTGCGTTGCAGAAGACTTTTTTTTTTTTTGTCCAATGTTTTTATCTAAACTTCATGTGATGTTCGCATTCACTTCCATTCAGATAAGTCAAATTTGGTCTCCATTGAAAAATTTGTGGCAATCTATTAACGCAATGAGTCCCACGTGACCACATGTGTGGTCACAATAACCCGTGTTTGCTCGTCCCCTCTGGGACTCAATGTGTTAAGAAGGATAATATTTCCATGTGCATCCCATTCTAGGTCATATAGCCTTCTCACCTAGGTTTCTATCTCACTTTTACAATTGGGTATATATATAGAATTTTCTTCACTACAGCTGGTTGAAATTTTCTATGCATAAGTGCCACCAGATTTAGAAAATCCTTATCCATCTAAAATCTAATTTTAAAAATTGTAACTCCACTTTAAATATACTATGCACTTTTGTGCAGATTTTGTGCAGATTTCTTATGTAGTGATATTTGTGTCTCCTAATTGAGTGCCAATGGTAATTTATCCCACAGTTCTTTGTTTCATTATCAACCATTTTCATTTCATATTTTGGCCATCGTTCTTGTATTGAATGGTGTTGCTTAGAACTAGTGTAGGTTTTCATGGGTCCACTTTGTATAGTTTTACAACCCTGCTCTAGTTTAAATTATAAGAACTTTCATGATTCTAAGTCATTTTTGAGTTTCTCTAAGCTCTGCATTTTGCTTACTGAACTGCAACCACATATTTCTCTGAACAATGTCTGTTTTTAACCTCATGTCTTAAGCTTTTATGTGATAGCAGATCTTTGATCTCCTAATAGAATGAAAATTTAAAGTAGAAACAGGGTTTTACAATCATTACATATGTTCTCTCTATGGTATGTCTTAATGTTCTAGTTTATTTTGAATGGTTTTAGGTGTTTGTGTAGTTGCTTTACCTGAAATCTATACCCTGTTTATCTTTGTCTCAACATTGAATGAAATTGATTTGGGTTTTTCCGCTAATTGATTGGGACTGCATTGTAATACTTAAAATTATTGTTGATCTGTTTCAACTTGTGAGAAATGATAAACAGGTTGTGCTATTGCTGACCTTTTTGAAAGGGATATTTTGATAGTAGGCTTTGTGTGCTGATTGTTTGAGGACGCTTTTTTGATAATTTACTTCTATTTTGAAGTTAGGGGATGTAAGCAAACAAAGGATTCCCATAAGAAACATGTGGATTGTCAAATGCAATAAATTGCATGGCTGTTTGAGACCTGAACAAACTTACTTCAGTGCTAGACAGAGCTTCTTTACAATAACCTTTATGTATTGCTCATCAATCTGCCTAAGATACTAAAATCTGATGTTATGCCTGACATATTGAAGCATTTAAATGCTATTGATACTTTATTTGCAACAATTTTTTGTTGTTAAATAGGGTTATTTTACTTTTATAGCAGGGTTATTGCAATAAATGTGGTGTAACCAAATCATAGTTTTAGCAGGTTTCAATGGGCAATATTTCCAATTTTGTATTACCAATTTCAAAAACAGTAATTTTCTTCTAGAATCTTTGGTTTTAAAAGAAGTAACTTAAATAATGTTCATGTGTTTTATTGAGGTATTCAGTTGTTGGGTCCATTTGTTTTTGTCACAGAGTATATTTTGTTGTGCTGTCCTTTACAAACATTTTCTTGAATATGTAAAGTATTGTTTAGAGGATTTGGTTCTGCAACCTTTGTCATCTTTATGCATCCCTAAAAAAAAAAACACTAAAAAACAAAAACAGGCATAAAAACACTATTTAAGTGTGGGGAAAACTTTGACCAAATCTGTCTCTTCTTTTCCATTATTGAGTAATGTCAGGCCTATTGGGTACAAATTTTGTGGATTCCTCATGTTTCAGAAATATTTGACCTGATTATAGTTTCTCTATCCAATTAATTTATGGTAAGCCATACTGCTGTTCTTAACAAATAATGAAGTCTGCGGGAATGATGAAGAAAATTTTTAAAGTTTACTTTCTCTTTGAAACTGAAAGTGACAAACATGGGTTGTTCTTTTTAAGGAAGTGTCCCATGCCTTTTCACACAAGTTGTCTTTTATTCCTCGTGTCAGAATTGACATTTTGTTATTTAAATTATTTATGGCAATGGGATGAAATGTACTCAATCACCTGTTGGGTGAGTTTCCTATTCCTGTTTGTGTCGCAGATTATGTTTGTGTGTGAATGTGTGATAGTGTGACTGTGTGTAACTATATTGTTGATATCTAAATGTACATTATGATAATTATGCATTAAAGGGTTGGAACTAAATCCTTTCCCCTCTTTATTATTCTCCATTTTTGACGCGTTTCTCCTCTTCCCCTGTGACGCTTTTGGCCGGTGGGGGTGGCACGGCTAGCGGCTGGCGCCTTGGAAGCGTCGCCGCCGAGTTGAGGGGATTCACCCGCCCCGCCTCTGGAGGCTGCCGCGGGCCGCGGGCCGCGGGCTGGTGGGCTGGGCGAGCACGGGCCTAAACGCCGCCACGCCCGGTCGGGTCTACGCCGAGCCGGACTGGGCAGTCTGCGTGAGCGCACCGGTGCGACCACAAGCCAACCAACGGGGAGCAGCTACTCGACCGCACCCGCACGGACCGTCGCGTCGTCGCCACCATGACGAGCTTCACGCTGTTGGCGGCGGTGGCCCTGGGGCTGCTAGGTGAGTGTCACCTCCTCCTCCTCCTGGGGGTGGGGTGGTTCCCAACCCGCTTTCCGGTCCCGCTCACAACACTCATCTGTGACGCGCCAAGCAATGCCATGACGTCACGTTCTGACGTCAAATTGGTTGACAACCTTGGGTATCATCGTAAACCGGTCGTAACTGTAGGAAGTCACCGGGGCGACGCCGAGACCAGCCTGGGCGCTCCCTCCGCGAGGACGGCTGATGTTCCTGCGCGGAGTAAAATCGCTTGCTTAATTAAGTTCAACTAATACTTGCTAGCTTTAATTTTCTCCGTGGTTACTGCGCGCGCGTAATGGTGTTTCCAAAATACAGGCGCTCGCCCGTCTTCCGTTCGTTTATGCAAATATGCTCTTTGTGTCTCCTCTGTTTGGCGAGCCAACAGTAACAAGAAGGATGAGTGTGCTTGTGTTCGCGGTTTCGCGCACCCTCTCTCACACCTGGCCGGTGGCCTTCTTGCAGTGCTGGCGGAGGCGGCGCCGGCGCCATGGGCGCAGTTTGACGGGCAGCGGAGGGGCGCTGCTGGTCGCGGAGGCCGCGGCGGAGTCCGCCCCGGAGGTCCTGGAGGACGTCCCGGAGGGCGGCCGGCAGGCGCCACCGACAACCGCTTCGCGACGAGCTGGCTCACGTCGGACTGGGAGGACGCCGGTAACGCCCAGGGATTTCTCGTCGATGCCGGCGACAGACGCCCCAAACAGAATGGCTTCCTCAATGGGTTTCCCGCTAACGGCTGGGCTGGTGCTGACGACGGCGGGGTCGGTCCTGTCTACCCTGGGATCGGCCCTGCAAACGCTTGGCTCGGCCCTGCAAACGGTGGGGTCGGCGCTGGGGATGCTGGGTTCGCTGGCGATGGCTTCGGCGATGATGGGGGGCTAGGCGCCGGCGGCGACCCGGGCGTCCTGCCGCCGCAGGGGCAGCACTGGGGCGCGGGGCCGGCGAACAGCCCCGGTGGAGGCAACTTCGGTGACGGGGGCTTCGGTGGCAACGGCAACGGCGGGCAGTGGGGAGGGGACGAGTGGGGCGTGGGGGCGCGACCGCCCAAGAGTAACAACGGCAATCCCTCGGCAGGGGGAGCGGGGGCCATCAACGGCATCGACCTGAGTGGCAACCCCTGGCTCAACGGCCAGGGCGGCATCGGCCAGGGCGGCATCGGCCAGGGCGGCATCGGCCAGGGCGGCAACGGCCAAGGCGGCAACGCCTGGCAAAACGGCCAAGGCAACGGCAATCGACCGGGAATCAACGGCCAGGGAGGCAACCCCTGGCAAAACGGCCAGAACAACGGCATTCGGCCGGCAAACAACGGTCAGGGAGGCAACTCCTGGCAAAACGGTCAGAACAACGGCAATCGGCCGGGCACCAGCGGCCAAGGAAGCAACCCTTGGCAAAATGGTCAGAACAACGGCAATCGACCGGGCACCAGCGGCCAGGGAAGCAACCCTTGGCAAAACGGCCAGGGCAACGGCCAAGGCAACAACGGGAATCTCGGAGGTGAGTCGCACAACACTTCAGTCCTGGGGATCAAAGTTTTACGAGCACTATCTTTAAACTCTGGGCTACATCAGTTATTAATGGAAGCTGCTTATTGAATGGGGAAGTGCAACCAAGGTAATGATAAATGTGTCCTTCCCCAGGCGCTGGTCAGCAGCAGCAGGCGCGGCCGACGCAGACGCAGCGGCCCAACACCAACCCCAGCGCCATCCAGGGCGTGCGCCCGCCGTCCACGCCGCGGCCCGACTGCGGCTGCCAGGTGACGGGCGAGTACAACCCCGTGTGCGGCACGGACGGCGCCACCTACAGCAACCAGTCCGCGCTGCGGTGCTCGCGGATCTGCGCCAGGAGTGAGTACAACAGTGGGCCGTCACGTGGAAAGTGTATCAACTCCGTAGATCGACTTTGCCATAGCTTATTCAGTCAAACGCTGCTATGTTGCCAGCGCTGCTCTGAAATGCAGGGCCGTGTGGTAAACTTACCCCATAGGGGTGCACCCACATGCCAGTGGCGGCATTTCTGTACGCCAGGCCAGGCTTTCATTGAGAAGCCGCGTGTCAAAGGGCCTCGGCAGGTGGGTGGGTGAAGCTAGCTTATTTTCCCCATTCGAAGGGGTTCAGTTTCAATGTGAGCGGATTACCCCCCCCCCCCCCCCCTAATGGCGCGGTACCCGCCGGCGCCCGCTGGCTCTGCGAATGCGAGCGAGAGGGGATGAGTCTCTCTCGTGTCGCGTCCGTCGCGCCGTCGCCGCCGCGGGGACTGCCCGCTTCGGCCGTCCGGGGAATTCCCGCCCCGCCCTGTCTATGATACGATGACAGCGGACATGCCATCATACGCTCGCCAAAAGTCATCGCATAGCGCTTCGCACTCGTGTGTTTCTTTTTCCCTGCTCCGATAGCTCCCAAAGGAGTTGCCATGATATTTTTACCCCGGAGTACATTTATGTGGGGCCCCTAAAGAGTTCCGGTGGTGGCCTTGAACCTGATAAGCGCGGCATGATATTTATCCCCCTCCCCCTCCCCTTTGCGGTCCGGTTCCTGCCCTGCTCACCTCTGGTCGTTGCTCTGTCTGCAGGCTCGCTCGCCGTCAAGCACCTTGGCGCCTGCACCACCCCGGCGCCCACCAAGTAGCCGGCGGAGTGCTCCGCTTCGCATAATTAGAATGTACCTTTTGTAAAAAAAAAAGAAGAAGTTTTTCTGTTGTTGTTTTCTGCCGCCGCCCGGTTCTTTGTATTATATGACCGGGCTCTTTTTCTGCTGCCGCGGCGCGCTCGAAGAAGTCGTCCTTCCACCGACGTAACTGTGTATTTATGTATTTATTATTGTCAACGTGTGTCTGTGTGTGTAAGTGTGTAGGTATGTGTAAGTGTGGTGTCACAATTATGTAATTATGTATGCTGACTGACTGATAATTTAGCGTTAATTAATTTTGGCGATACGCAAAGGGATCAGTCAGAAGAGTACGTCCGTCATTCGACGCTACAAACCTGCCAAGTTCAGCCCTACAAGCTCTCAGAGCGCCTGGTAGGTAGGCAACGTCCTGCCTGCAGTGCATTCTTGTACTGCGGGGTGGCCTACCTCGAGTCTCGCAGGCGCTGAGCTCCCGTGATGTGCAGAATGAATCTGGGTAAAAAGGGACGTACTTTCTGGACGATCTCAAACGGGGTGGACCGAAGTCGATCCGGAAACATCTTCCAACTCTCTCCCCCCGCCTCCTCTCCCTCTCGGGCGTGGGGTGAGTGAAAGGCGCAGAAGGCAGCCGATGTCAGTCTTGATCGCCTGCCAAGTGAAGGGTAGGCAACACACCGTATCGTGTGCCATTGTGATTCCAATTATCTTATCGTCATTTCGATGTGTGTTGTAATAAATTAGTGGCCAAACTTTGATTATTTTCATTTTCTTTGCCTCGAAACCGGTTTGTCCTTGACTTATCTAAACTCAAACTGAGTGTAGATAGTGTTCGCTACTCGCGGATAAGACGACGTTTTTCTCAACTCGTCAATGTGGTCCGGGCGCTTTAAAAGTAGCAGTTAAAGGCGGAAAAAAATGAGAGCGGGGACGCAAACTTTTAGAACTTGTCTTTTGTATTACAAGAATAATCACAGTATAAAAAATAACAATTAAAATATGTTATCGGCTATTTCAG